TATTATTTAATTATTATTTAATTATTAATAAAAAAATTAAAATATTTAAATATTTTAAAATTTAATTAATTAAAATAATTTATTAAATATTAAAGCCATTTATAATTATAATACTTAATAACACTTTTAAAAACGTTAAATCCTTTAATTATTACAAGGGTTTTAACGATAAAATACAATATAAGCACAGTATAAGCCACTTTAGCACTGTGTGTTTTACTGTTTTTACGTCAATTGGCGGTTTGGCGGTTTAGTGTCATTTCGCCCGCCGTCGATGCAGATGAATGTGGTGGAAGTTTGATGTTTAATGGTTACTGCTTGATGAGTTCAAAGCATTAAGATCGCGTTACACGCGTTCCCCCTGTCTACGCGGGCTATCGATAAGGCCCCACCAATTAAGCTTCAATTGTGTTAGTGGGGTTATTTATACCCATGGTCGAAATTCGAATGGAAAATGGAAGTGAAGAACCCCGCCATTCCGTCATAAGACAAGAAAATGGTCGAAAACACGCTTCAAGATGATATAGAGGCGGGAGACCATCTATCATACATGAAACTTGCCCTTTCTTTAGCTACTAAATCCCCACCAAAGCCTACCAACTACCGGGTTGGCGCGGTTGTGGTTAACGCAGCCACGAATGAGATATTGGCAACTGGCTACACACTAGAGCTTCCAGGGAACACACACGCTGAACAATGCTGTTTTGAGAAGATTTCAGAGAGGCACAGTGTACCAGCAAATCGCTTAAACGAAGTACTCCCTGAAGAAGTCATACTTTACACGACAGTTGAACCATGTTCTCAAAGGCTCAGCGGAAACTTGCCATGCGTGGACAGGATATTAGCTATAGGGGAGAAGATTAAAACCGTATACGTCGGAGTTTACGAGCCGGAGAAGTTCGTAAGTGGTAATTCTAGCAAGCAGAAGTTGGAGGATGCCGGAATTGGATTTGTTCATGTTGCTGGGTTTGAGAATGAGATTTTAGAGGTCGCAACAGCGGGTCACGAGAAACCTTAGAACCTGATAGAGAGGATAAAATCGAACTGCAGTCACGATTTACTTTTCATTCAATTCGAGCGCAGGGTGCAATCTTGTCATTGACCTATATATTCATTCGCCCCTGAATAAACTTTGGCTCGATAAAAGCGTCAGCGCTTAGGTTTCAAAATATGCTGTTGCCCTACGAGGCTCCTCTGGAACTGACTCGAACTGAAGATAGACAATGTATCAGCTCATCAGACTACTGCCCAACTTAGTAAGTACTGTTTCCCCCGGAGCAGTTTAAAAAGAGAATATAAAACTGTTCCAGGGGTAGCAGTGACCGAACAGGGGAAAAAAGCAAAAAAAAATTGATTCGAAGAATCTCTTTAGAAGAGATGCATCGGGAATTGAGCCCGATGCGGGGGTCGAACCCGCAACCTTGAGATTAAGAGTCTCACGCTATTTGACCAGTTAGTATCACAGGATCAGAAGTATGTACCGTGTGAGTGTTGACTAACCTCTACCGATTGAGCTAACCGGGCTGATTCCGGGGGAACCGGATCTGATGAATTATTTAGAATTCGAGGTATATGATTTCGATGCAAAAAGTGGTTACGGAGCTCCGATGTTGTGCCGGTTGTGGCTGCCTTTCCCGTTGGCTAAATCGACTCAAAAAGTGGATGGTAGTACTACTTCTGGACATACTAGGGCTTAATGCTCGTTTAGGTTCTGTACAACAACTCTAACCACCACACTTCAAGTTGGAACAATCAGATTGGAACATACTGCCTCCCGGTTCCATAAGGCATACATAGAAGTAAGTTAACACACTTGAACTTGGGATTTGTCGTCACTTTGGATCTCCAGACTTAGGTAATGTGAGATTCTGATCGAAGAAGAATGATTCCGAGTTACAGTCATTGACGTCGTAAGAGTAACCATCTTGAAGAGCTACTTCTCTACGAGCGTGGCTACAATGCATACTTCCAAGCCAATTGAATACCCTGGTAAAGTTGCTACTTATTAGATGCCTTGAAGTGGCAACAATGCTCATCACTTAGGCCTCAGAGCTGAATAATGACGTGATAGCAGGGAGTATGTTTACGTTATTATTCTGATGATCAGGAGGTCTTGGAGTACGTTTCTTTGCGAGTGCTGTCTTCAAGTTGTTACACAGGTTTCCTTGATCTATGCAAGTCTATCAGAAGAGGCACGCCTACCTCGTGTAGGTGTCTGCCTAAGGTAGGTACCTAAATAAGCCACCGGTAAATCACGCCACCAGCAAGTACCTACATATGTAGGTCAAAAAGTTAGCCGAAAAGGCTACCTTCCGTTCGTTCGTTCGTTCGCAGAGGTTTATGCAACAGGAAACGTAGGTTACCGAGGCGAGTGCCGAGCCAGTAAGAACAACGCTGAGATGCATAGGGGCGTTGCATCACATCAAATTCCTGTTGACCTGCTTGAATCAATGAACACGTGCGAGTAGCCCTAGGATCGCACTATTATTTACATGAATTTCATGTTAGAAAGTAGGCTGGCTTTTGGTGGATAGGTAAGTTAGTATTTCCATATAATCCGGAGATTGTGGAGATGAATGGCGTGCGAAGCGGGCCGATCCGGTAATATCCTACGTCCCCGTGGGGTCCAACAGGTTGAGATGTGTAACGACTTCTACCAGACTATTCCCTACCTCCATTCTTTTCGAGGATACGAGAAATTTGGATCCCGAACAGTGGTTGGGAAGATGAAAGATGATTCAGGCTCGAAGAGTTTACGTGTCGCCCAACTATTAGGGCACTTTAATATGCGAGGGTACTCCAATGAGAAGTTCTTTACCACTTCGTTAAGACATTATCTGCAGATCTGTAACCTGAGAATAAATTGTGGAGTAGTATTTGGTTGCATAGTGCGTAGGTACGGACGGCTAGGCCAGCGTAGGGCTACTTGACGGATAGTTGAGGCTGATGCGTGTCTGCGTTTGCTACCATTGCTATATAGCAAAGAGCTCTTTGCTCAAATACGATACTGAGTAGATGCTTTGATAGGCAATTACCAGAAGCACTTACTTCCTTGAATACTATATAGAAAGCTGCTACTTGTTAAAGTAATAGAAAACCTGACTAAGTATCACCGGTGACTATTCGCCCACCAAGATCATGGATGTGGGAGACAGGTACAACCTGGGTTACACGTGCATTGCTAAGTCTGGGTATAAGATGTGAAAGGTAAGCTGTGTCGCAGTTTTATACCGTCTATCCCAGATAACAGAACCAATTGAGGAGCTGTGTCCATATGAACCCGTCGCGGGAGTTAGAGGAATGACTCAGAGTGTTGCTTTCGATTGCATAATTAATATAATACCGAGAATCATTGGATAAAGAATGGACGGAATCCTGATAGAATCTCGAGCTGCCTAGTCGAGGTGACTCATAAAGTGGTTGACTTCCAAAGTTTGACATAACTGGTTGTTTACAGTCGGAAGTAGGTAATGAGCTGACGGGTCTCGCTGTTGAAAAGAGACATGTCATATTTCTCTAGAAGAGACGTCTATTCTTGATAATCTATACATAATGAGTACATCTTAAGCTGTAACCTGTAATTAAACTTAATAATATGGGTGCCTGGGTACTTACCTTATAGTTTACTGTTGATTTGACCTTGTTGAGTGTGCGATAGGTATTGGTATTTACACCGTAATCTTAGAAACCAAACCGAATAACCTTCGAGTGAAAGACGATGAATAACATGGCACAAAGATTGCACTAACTTATGAAACAAATTTTGAGTTATTTTAGGTAGGCAATTAACAACATAGCACGCGTTATTTTGCTCCCTCAATATATGAAATTTACTTTTTCCCCTCCTTTCGATATCTTTTCCTGTGGTGACGTTTTTTTTTCGTTTTCATGCGGGATGTAGCTGAGCTCCGAGAGCGCCACATAGGGCAGGGTGCAGGGGTATGAGGGCTAGCTAAGACAAGGGTCCCGTACCATAATCGTGGGACGTAAATGCGGCACACTCAAGCGGTTAGGTACCTATGTCAACGACCGGGGGGAAACGTCAACTCTCCGGACCTTTTCACCGCTTATAATTCTCAATGAAGATTCAAAAGCAAAAATACTTCCTTCTTTTGATCAGTTCTCATAAATTAGACAATGGAGTTGTGGAAACTGTCACCCGTTGGTAATACGGACCAATGGATACATGTATGTACCTGATAACTTGCGTAACCTACTTGGTATACATCTATATCCAAGAAAATGTATTCGCATGTACTAACATATCTTGAATTAATGGATCCTTGTCCCTCTTGTTGGCAGGGTGGGTCCCGCATCTTCAATAGCTCTTCAAATCCCCTCCGTCTTCTTTTTTTTAAGGTTCCTCCTCTGCCATCTCTATTACAACTACTTGAATATACGGGAAGAGTATATGAATATCTTAGGAATGATTATCTTCTAATATTTCACATTTTTCTCTGTTTGGAGGACTTCAATTGCTCATCTCGTATCTTGTTTGGTTTACTTTGAGTTACTCACTTGAGTCTCGACAACATCCTATATTGGATATCTTACAGAAATCCACAACCCATACCCACGCCGTCCAAGCTTCATCTATTCGGTTAGGACATCTAAATCTATCATTTCACTTCGGGGAACGGCTTTGCGATACACTGCATCCGCATCCGTATCCATATCCGCAAGAAGGTCTGGTAAAGGTTGTTGGTTGTTTGCCTTTACCCCACAACGTTGCAGCCAACGATCAAAGTCGACCGTATTACCAACATATCTGGTATGTAACTAATCTGTTGAATCAACGCTCTACCACAGTAGTCTGAGGTTTCATACATCTTGGACTGTCATACTCTTCTATGTTGTTTTCCCAGTCAAACACCTTTGTCATTTTAGCAAGCGGAGCTACAGGCATTTTCCAACCATAGTCTACTACTTGCTTGCACAACACTGCTCACTTTGGCTACCTAAAAGAACGAGCACATACCATACACCATACACATATACTACCTAGGTATTCTATATATAAGTACCTATGGATATTTTACCCGTCATCTAGTACATAATTTATTCAACGTCACCCATCATCCACATGTAAACCAAACCATGCAGTTCAACGGCTTATAGATTTTGAACAGGACTACCAAGGTCTATCTCTGACAGAGCTTCACGTCACGTGTGACTGAACATACCTGCTCTGTGTTGACCTAGACATAATTCTACCCACCCTAATTTCTCTCATTTATCATTGTTTAAGAAGCTACCATGGCAGACCGTGGTGGTAGAGGCAGAGGTCGCGGTGATCGCGGCAGAGGACGGGGAAGAGGAGATTTCTCAGGAGGACGAGGCGGTGGCGGCGGCAGTGCCACATTTTCTGGAGTAGGTTCTGGCGGTGATTACCGTGGCGGCCGAGGCCGTGGCGACTACCGTGGTGGAGGAGGAAGAGGTGGAGGTGGAGGTGACTATCGTGGTGGAGGAGGAGGGGGGCGAGGTAGAGGAGACTTCCGGGGCGGACGAGGTGGTGGTCGAGGCCGTGGGGATAAGTTTGCGGGCGAGGGTACGGTGTTCAGGTAAGTTTGAATCCATTCTATCACCGATCCGATGTTGACGGAATACAGGCAGAATGCCATACCCCCACCGGACCCGGCCATTACTAAACTAGAAGACGATATCCTTAAGAACTTGGATATGCAAACTAGAATGGCCTCTCTCCAGGTTTCCCCTAAAAAGGGTTCAAAGTCTGTGACGGGAGAGTTCCTACCTCTTCGACCGGCATATGGTACTAAAGGCACCGAGGTAACCCTCTGGGCCAATTACTTCACATTGGATGTGAAGACTCCATCATTATATAGCTACACGATGAAAACTGCCCTCAAGAAGGATGATAAGAAAAAGGATACGGGATCATCCGAGGAGAAACCTGTAGGGAAAGGCAAGGGAAAGGGGAAAGGGAAGGGGAAGGGAAGTGGCGAGGATGGGGACAAGGATGGGGACAAGAAGGAAGCGAAGGGTATGAAACTCCAAGCTGTTATCAAGGCTGCCTTGAATCAGGTTGCTACGGGAATTCCCTACGCGACAGAATTCAAATCACAGGTTGTTTCCATATCCCCCCTCAAATTACCGGACGACAGGAAAGTCGAGGTCGCATATACCGAGGAAGGGAAAAATGATATCTACGATGTCAAATTCGACCATGCACCCGACATCAACATGGATGCCCTAAGAACTTATATTCGATCGATGCAGGCGCCACCCGACCAGAGCCAATTTCCCCGATACTCGGAAGCTATTGATGCTCTTGGCATTATCACTGGGTTTTGGGCACGAAGCAACAACAGGGTCGGCTCTGTGGGTCGCAGTCGATACTTTCCCATGGACATGGACTCGGAGAAGAACTCCTTAGGCTATCCGGATCTCAATACCGTTATTCGTGGGTATTTCCAGAGTGCCCGACCTGCGACCGGCCGGTTACTTCTGAACGCCAACGTTAGTCATGGTGTGTTCCGTCCTTCGGGGCTCGTGACCAAATTAAT